AGCAGCGCGCGCTGCTGGCTCCCGGCGGCGCTGCTGCTGCTGCTGCTGCGCTGCAGCGGCTGGCGCAGTGCGACCCGAAGCGCGAAGGCCTCTGCTGCTTGCTGCCGGACTTTTGCGACCCAAATGCAGATTGTTTTTCAGATGTTTCTCCAGAAAACTTCTTCGATTGGGCGCATGCAGTGCCGCGCTGCAGCTGCCGCTGGGGCTTTGCGGGCGACGGCCGCAGCAGCGGCAGCGGCTGCAGCAACGTCGACGAGTGCAGCACGGGAGCAGCAGGCTGTGAGCAGCTTTGCTTCGACTTGGCTCCTGGCTTTGCATGCGGCTGCTTCCCGGGCTTTCAGTTGCTGCCTAATGGCAAGCTTTGCCAGGATATCGACGAGTGCAGCAGCAGCAGCAGCAGCAGCAGCAGCAGCAACGGCGGCTGCCAGCACATCTGCACCAACCTCCTCGGGTCCTTCGCCTGCAGCTGCCTCCCTGGTTAGCAGCAGCAGCTGCAGCAGCAGCAGCAGGGGAGGGGAGGGGGGAGCGACGCTAGGGGGAGCAGGGGATGCAGGGGTAGAAGCTGCAGCAGCAGCAGCAGCAGCAGCAGCAGCAGCAGGGGAGGGGGAGGAGCGACGCTAGTTGTAGCAGGGGCGCAGGGGTAGAAGCAGCAGGGATAGAAGTTACAACAGCAGCAGCAGCAGCAGGATTAGAAGCAGGAGCAGCAGCAGTAGCAGAGATTAGAGACGGACCAGGCTCTTTTTTTGTTGCTGCTGCCCCTCTGGGCGCTCTTGTTGGCCCGTGCCGCCTTTGCCCTCCTGCTGCTTCACCCGCTGCTGCTGCTGCTGCTGCTGCTGCTGCTGCTGCTGCTGCTGCTGGTGGTTTGCAGGTTTCAAGCTTGCTGCGGACGGGCGCAGCTGCATCGAGGTGGACGCGTGCGCAGCAGCAGCAGCAGCAGCAGCAGCAGCAGCGCGGGGCCCCTGCCAGCACCAGTGCCACACGGAACTGGGCCTCTACCGCTGCAGCTGCCCCTCCGGGTTCAAATTGTCTCCGACAGATTTCGCTTCTTGCTTCGACAGAAATGAATGTCTGGAGGGTTTGGGCGACGGCCAGCCGGCCTGCAGCAGCGACGGCTCGCAGCGCTGCAGCAACTTCCCCGGCTCTTACAGCTGCTCCTGCGCGCCTGGCTACGCCCTCAAGGCCAGCAGCAGCAGCAGCAGCAGCAGCAGCAGCAGCAGCAGCAGCGGCGGCGGCGGCGGCGGCGGCGGCGGCGGCAGAGGAGGCGCGGCGGGGCCGCAGCAGCAGCTGCTGCAGCAGCAGCTGCAGCAGCTGCAGCAGCAGCAGCAGATCCACAACGCGCAGATGCGCCAGGACCCAACTGCCCCCAAGACACAGATGCTCCAAAGAAACGGGGTGCAGCAGCAGCAGCAGCAGCAGCAGCAGCAGCAGCACGGAGCCCAGCAGCTGTACCAGTTGCAGCAGCAACAGCTCCTCCAGCAGCAACAGGCCCAGCGCCAGCAGGCGCTTCTGCTGCAGCAGCAGCTGCAGCAGCAGCAACGCCTCCAGCAGCAGCAGAACGCTCCGCAGTCTGCGGCACTCCAGAGAACCCAAGACGCGACAGCTGCTATGCAGCAGCAACAACTCTTGCTGCAGCAGCAGCAGCTGCTGCAGCAGAGCTTGCGCCAGGCCCCCAACGCAAACCCACAGCAGCTTCAACAGCCAACGCAGCAACTCCTTCAGCAGCAACTGCAGCAGCAGCAACAACAGCCACAGCATCATGTACTGCAGCAAATGCAACCACAGACACAACAGCAACAAACAGCTCAGCAACAGCAGCCACAGCAACAGCTGCTGCAGCAGCAACTGCTGCAGCAGCAGCTCCAGCAGCAGCAGCTCCAGCAGCAGCAGCTCCAGCTCCTGCGACAGCAACAGCTTCTGCAGCAGCAACAACTGCAGCAGAAGCAGCCTCTTCAGCAGCAGCCTGCCCAGCAGCAGCAGCAGCAGCAGCAGCAGCAGCAGCAGCACGTGCACACCCGCGCAGCGCCATCCTTGCCTCTCAACAAGCCTCTGGCCCCCATTCTCAAGGACCCGCAGAATCTCATATTGCAGGAGCAGCAGCAGCTCATAATGCAGCAGCAGCAGGAGCTGCTGCGGCAGCAGCACCTGATAGATGAGAAGCTGACCCGGGAACGCTCGCAGAAGCCCCCGCAGCAGCCGCAGCAGCAGGTGCAGCAGCAGGTGCAGCAGCTGCAGCAGCAGCAGGTGCAGCAGCAGGTGCAGCAGCTGCAGCAGCAGCTGCAGCAGCAGCAAAGGGCTCCCGCGAGGCGGCTCTCTATAGAAAAGACAATCGAAAACATTGTGAAAGTTGCCTCACAAGGGAGCTCGGACTCTGGCAAGATCTACGGCAGCAGCAGCAGCAGCAGCAGCAGCAGCAGCAGCAGCAGCAGCAGCAAGGGAGAGGTGGATCCCGAGAAGCTGGCGCAGATGACGAAGCAATTCTTCACTGCAGCAGGAACAGCAAGTTCAGCTTTGGGCGCAATTAATGTGGTGACGGGGAACGCGCAGCTGCAGCAGCAGCAGCAGCAGCAGCAGCAGCAGCAGCGGATGATCGCAGCAAACTCGGCCCTTGCTGCCAAGATGGGCACTGCTGCTATGCGCTTCGTGCCCAGCGAGACCTACAGCCCAGAAGCCAAGCAGCTGCTGCTGCTGCAGCGCGAGCTGCTGCAGCAAATGTGCAGACCCAGAGACCCCCCAACCCCGCAGCAAGAACCAATTGTTTGCGAAGACATCGACGAGTGTGCTGCTGCTGCTGCTGCAGGACGCTCTGCCTGCCCCCACCAGGACCTTATTTGTGTCAACACCCCAGGTGAGTGCAGCAGCAGCAGCAGCAGCAGCAGCAGCAGCAGCAGCAGCAGCAGCGGCGGCGGCGGCGGCAGATGCAGCGCAGGAGCAGCAACGGCTGCAGCAGATACAGCAGCAGCAGCAGCAGCAGTTTCAGCTGCAGCAGCAGCAGCCACTGCGAGAGCGTGTTTTACCCCTCCTTTCGTGCATGCGTTTTTGTTTTTCTCTTTTCCTTTTTCTCCTTTCTATGTTTATTTATGTTGCTTCAGCTTCTGCCAGTACCTCTCTCAAATTGCTGCTGCTGCTGCTGCTGCTGCTGCTGCTGCTGCTGCTGCTGCTGCTGCTGCTGCTGCTGCTGCTGCTGCGTGTGCTGCTGCTGCTGCTGCTGCTGCTGCTGCTGCTGCTGCTGCTGCTGCTGTTTGTCCTGCTGTTGCCGCTGCGGCTGCTGCCGCTTGTCCTGCCGCTCTGCCGCTGCCGTTTGCGTCGCCGCTCTGCTGCCGCTGCTGCCCCTCCCGCTGCTGCTGCTGCCGCCCTGCTGCTGCTGCTGCTGCTGCTGCTGCTGCTGCTGCTGCAGCTGCCTGCCCGGCTTCGAGCTTTCCCAGGACGGCAGCTGCCAAGACGTGGACGAGTGCGCCTTGGGGCTGCATGCATGCGAACACTCCTGCGAAAACATTGTGGGGTCTTACCGCTGCGTGTGCAGTGTGGGGTGGGCAGCAGACCAGCAGCAGCCCTCGCGCTGCGTGGACATCAACGAGTGCAGCAGCAGCAGCAGCAACAGCTGCTCCCACTCCTGCGTCAACACTCTCGGATCTTACTTGTGTCAGTGCCCCAAGGGCCTCGAGCTTGCTGCAGACCTCAAGACCTGCAGGCAGCCCAAGAGCTGCCTCGAGGACCCCACCATCTGCACAGGTCCGCCGCCTCCTGCTGCTGCTGCTGCTGCTGCTGCTGCTGCTGCTGCTGCTGCTGCTGCTGCTGCTGGGGCTGGGGGTGCAGCCCCCGCGGCTTTCGTTGGCGTTGCGGCTGCGGCCGCAGCTGCTCCCGCTGCTGCTCCCGCGCTCCCCCGCTCCCTGCGCCCCCACTCCCTGCTGCTGCTGCTGCTGCTGCTGCTGCTGCTGCTGCTGCTGCTGCGTGTGGGCACTCGCAGGCGACTACGTGTGTGCGCGAGACCCCCCCACGGGCCAGTGGGTCTGCCGCTGCCCCGAGGGCTTCGTACCCTCGGGGGGCCCCTCGGGGGGCCCCTCCCAGGGGGCCCCCCAGTGCGAAGATGTGGACGAGTGCCTGCAGGGCTTTCCCCAGAGGGGCCTCAACCCCTGCCCGGACCCCCTGCGGTGGGCTTTTGCCTTTTGCTGCTGCTGCTGCTGCTGCTGCGGCTGCTGCTGCTGCAGTTGCTGCTGCTGCTGCTGCTGCTGCTGCCGCTAATGGTGGTGGCGGCGCTGCTGCTGGTAATGTCGCCGCTGCTGCTGCTGGTAATGTTGCCGCTGCTGCTGCTGCTGGTAATTCTGCTGCTGCTGCTGCTGCTGCTGCTGCTGCTGCTGCTGCAGGCCTTGCTGCCTGAACATCACTGGAGGCTTTCAGTGCCTTGCTATGAGGCGCCGGGCCCTCCTGGACCCCCGCACGCTTTCTTGCGAGGCCCCCAGCTTTGCCTTTAGCCCTTACAGAATTGCCTCTGCAGCTACCGAGCAGTGACCTAAACCCTAAACCCTAAACCCTAAACCCTAAACCCTAAACCCTAAACCCTGAAGCTTAAGACAAGGACACCGCCTGGGGAGCGGCAGACCCAGGCACCTCTCAGTAGCCCCCTCGGGGGCCTCCAAAGGGCCCCTAAGGGGCCCAGGAGGCCCCATGGGGGCCTCCTAGGGGCCCCCGGGGGCTCCCTAGGGGGCCCCCGGAGCCCCCCTAGGGGGCCCCTGGGGGCCCCCGGGGCCCCTTAGGGACCCTCAGGGGAGTCCCTAGGGCCAAGCAGGGGCCCCAAAGGGGGCCCCCGTGGGCCCAGTGCAGAAGCTGCTCAATGAAGGGGATTTATAGAAAACACTTATTTGGGCAAATAGAGGGTTGGGCTGTACGTACACCTGAAATGCCCACGAAAAAGCCCCAAATTGAGTGCATGCAGCTGCATGCAACTGCATGCAACTGCAAGCAACTGCACACAGCAGGGGGCCCCACAGGGCAGGGCAATGCGGGGGGCAACAGGGGCCCTTAGGGGCCTCCGGGGGCCCCCAGGGGCCCCGGAGGCCCCTACAGGGCCCTTGGCTCTCTGCGGGGCCTCAGGGGGCCCACAGAGCCCTGTGGAGCCCCAGGGGCCCCCAAAGTCCCCAGCTGGATCTTTGGCCCCCTGTGGGGGCCCCGGGGCCCCCGAGGCCTCTCCCTGAAGCCCTAGGGGCCCCCTGAGAAAGGCCTGGGGCCCCTAAGTGTGCCTGGAGTTTGGTAGAGAAAGAAAGACTAGAGAAAGAGTTTAAGGGGGCCCTTTGGGCCCCCAAGTCTCCTTTGCTCTTTCTTTATTTTTGTCTTTTGAAGCATTTCATAAAAAGGCCTGAAACATATGCAGCTGCAAAGGGGGCCCCCGCCAAGGGGGCCCCCAGGCCATCTTCTCTTCCCTTATACCTAATAGTTAATACCCACAGCCCCTCTTGCCGCCTGGGGGCCCCCTCAGTCTTTGGCTGTTTCCAGGGCCCTTGAGGATCCCTTTGGGCACTTTAGGGGGCCCCTCAAGAGCTGTGGAGGGCCCCCGAGGAGAGTTTGCTTAAAGGGGGCCCCGGAGAGCTGTAAGGGGCCCCTGAAGGGGCCCCTTGCAGCCCTTCAGGGCCCCTCTTTGGGTCTAAGGGGGCCCCCTAAACCTATGGAGGGCCCCTTGGGGCCCCTTCAGCCCCCTGTGGTTCCTAGACGGCTCCCCTTGGGGGCCCCTTGGGGGCCCCTTGGGGGCCCCTTTGGGGCCCCTTGGGGGCCCCTTGGGGGCCCCCTGGACCCCATAGACACCCTAGAGAGCTCTCCTTGAAGCTCCCGCGATTAGCTAAAAGCCTTGCAAAGAGAAAGAAGGCCTTGGCTTTAAAAAGAGACATCTGTAGGGCCTTTTTCAAAAAGCTGAAGAGCCTTTAGGGCCCTCCCAGAGGCCCCAGTCTAGGGGCCCCTCCCGCGGGCCTTTTAGCCCAGGGGCCCACTTCAGGGGCCCCCCTCATTAGACTGTAGCTTGTGGGGGCCCCCTGGGGGCCCCAGCTGGGCCCCAGCTGGGTGCCTCCCGCTAGGGGCCCCCCGGGGGCCCTAGTTGGGCCCCCCGTTTCAGGGGCCTCTTGGGGGCCCCAGCTGGGCCCCCGGACAGGCAGGCTGTGGGGCAAAGGGGGCCCCCACGAGCCTTTCTGGCTGGGGAACCCAAGTCAAGGCCAAGGGGGTAGTATGAGGGGCCCAGCTGGGGCCCCCAGGGTGCCCCTAGAGTGGGGGGCCCCAGCTGGGGCCCTGGGCCCCCCCACTCTAGGGGCCCCAGCTGGGGCCCCCAGGGGGCTCCTAGAGTGGGGGGCCCCAGCGGGGGCCCCCAGGGGGCCCCTAGAGTGGGGGGCCCCAGCTGGGGCCCCCAGGGGGCCCCTATTGAGGGGGGCCCCCCTGGGGAGCAGCTAGCCAGGGGTGGGCCAAAGCCTGCTGCGCTGTGAGTCTCTTGAAAGGATTTAGTTGGAGGAGAGAAGCCAAGAAGTCGCGGCAGTGCAGCGAGATGGGGGGCAGGTGCAGCAGCAGCAGTTCGCCTGCGAGACGCGCGCCAAACCCTAAACCCTAAACCCTAAACCCTAAACCCTAAACCCTAAACCCTAATCCTAGGGCCTCGCTAGCTAGCAGCAAGCGCCCGACCCAAACCCTAGAAGGTGTGCTGTGGAGGCCCCCAAGGGCCCCTGCAAACGTCAGCAAAGGCTAGGGGCCCCTGGGGGCCCCTAGAAAGAGAAAAGCCCGCAAAGGGGGCCCCTGTGTACCCACCTATGAGGCCCCGCCGCGCCAAAAGGGCCCCCAAGGCCTCTCTTGAGTTCGCCACGAAGGGGGGGGCCCCCAAAAGCAGGTGCAGCGCCAGCACTGCAACACGCCACATGTCCGCTGCAGCAGCAGCAGCAGCAGCAGCAGCAGCAGAAGCAGCAGCAGCAGCAGTAGCGGTGGCAGCGTCGGGGGGGGATGCAGTCTCAGGAGCTCCAGGGCGGCCGGCAGCAACTGCATCAGCTTCAGCAGCAGCGCCTGCAGCGTCGTCACTAGCAGCAGCAGCAGCTGCAGCAGCAGCAGCAGCAGCAGCAGCAGCAGCAGGGCTGGCGAGCTCCTCGGGAGCAAGGTAAGCCAGCGGGAGGCCCTGAGGCGAGTCTGCTGAGGGCCCCTGCTGCGCTGCTGCGGCGGGGGCCCCCAGCAGCGCAGCAGGGGGCCCCCCGGGGCGGCGCAGCAGGGGGGCCCCCAGAGGGTACTGAAAGGAAGGCCTGTACTGCAGCGCAGCAGGGGGCCCCTGGCCTTTTTGCTGCTGCTTGAAGAAGCAAGAGGCCCTCGGAAGGGCCAAAGCAATTCCGCCGTTGGCTCTTTGATAAATGGCATCTGCGGTGAGGCTGAGGGGCCCCCGGCGCTGCTGCTGCTGCTGCGGCTGCTGCTGCAGCAGCAGCACCGCCTGCAGCACCTGCTGCAGCAGCAACTTCACTGCTGCTTCACTCAACCCACACCCCCTGTGGGGCGGCAGCAAAGCTGCCAGCTTCTTTGCTGGAGGCAGCAGCCACTCCCGGAAGATGTACAGACACTCCGAGTCTTGGTAGACTGCATGCAGCTGCAGCAGCAGCGGGGAGTTCAGCAGCACGGGGGGCCCCGCAGCAGCTGCGGGGCCCCCGGCCACCCCCCGCTGCTGCTGCTGCTGCTGCTGCTGCTGCTGCTGCTGCTGCTGCTGCTGCTGCTGGTTCTGCTGCTGCTCCTTGTCGGGGCCTAGACGGAACACAACGCTCACAGGAGTCTGGGCGCTGGGCTCACTTGCTAGTTGCTGCTGCAGAAGCATCAGCTGCTGCTGCTGCTGCTGCTGCTGCTGGTTAGGGCTGAGATGAAAGATAACCCTGACGGGAGTCTGGGCCGTGGGGCCCTGTGCCAGCTGCTGCTGCTGCAGCAGCTGTTGAGGCTGCAGCAGCTGCTGAGGCTGCTGCGGCAGCAGTTGCTGCTGCTGCTGCTGACCATTGTTTAGACCAGAGGCAACACTTGTGGGTGACTGAGTATAAAGCCATGGTGCTAGCTGCTGCTGCGCAGACGGCTGCTGCTGCAGCAGCTGCAGCAGCTGTGGTTGCTGTGCCAGCTCTACCTGCGGGTAGAGCTGCTGCAGCTGCTGTAGCTGCTGCAGCTGCTGTAGCTGCTCCAGCTGCTGCAGCTCTGGCTGCTGCAGCTGCAGTTGCTGCAGTTGCTGCAGCTGCTGCAGCTGCTGCAGCTCTGGCTGCAGTCCCAGTTGCATCTGGGGCTGGAGTTGTTGCAGCTGCTGCAGCTGCTGCAGCAGCTGCTCCTGCGTCAGAGGTGTTTGCGGCTGCTGCCACAGCTGCTGCTGCTGCTGGTAGAAGGCGTCTAAAGAGGCTGCTGCTGCTGCGGGCTGCTGCCAGCAGAATAGATTGCTGCTGCTGCTGCTGCGCCTTGAAGACCCGCTTGGGGCCCCCGGGGCCCCTAAGTATTCATTTGAAGCTCCAAGCTGGAAGACCCCGGTTTCCATTTGGTCTTCCTGCTGCTCTTGCTGCTGCTGCTGCTGCTCCTCCTCCTGTTGCTGCTGCTGCTGCTCCTCCTCCTCTTGGTATTCCTGCTGCTCCTGCTGCTCCTGCTGCTGCTCGGGCTGCAGCTGCTGCAACTGCTTCAGCTGCTGCTGCTGCTGCTGCTGCTGCTGCGCGTCCTGGCTGTGGGAGGCGCGCTTGGCAGCAGCCAGCAGCAGCTGCCTCCTCCTTTCCCCTGGAGTGGGTACGAAAAGAAGACCCGCGCAGCAGCACTCAATTTTGGCAACTCCTGCGAAGGGAAGGGGGCCCCTCGAGAGGCGCCGGGGGGCCCCCCAGCTGTGGGGGGCCCCCCAGCCGTGGGGGGCCCCCCAGCTGTGGGGGGCCCCCCTGTTGGGGGCCCCCCGCGCGGGGGGCCCCCGCCCGGGAGGGCACAGCTGCACGAGGCCCGAAGTGTGGGGCCGCGAAAGGGCCACGAGGCCCTCGGCCAGGGCCAGCCAGGGGGCCCCCGGGGCCCCCCTGGGTCTGCAGCTAACAGCAAACTTTAGAGTCACGCTGTTTGCTGCTGCTGCTGCTCCTGCAGCCACCTGCAGCGGGAGGTACAGCCGCAGCGGGGGCAGCGCAGCAACAGGCAGCTGCAGCAGCAGCTGCTGCGGCTCCCGCACAGCCCGGTGGCTCCCCAGGGGGGCCCCCGCGGGCTCGAGGCCCTCCACGCTGCAGAAGGTCATATCGGGGGCCCAAGTACCCAGTCCAGGGGCCCCCAGGGGGCCTCGGGGGCCCCCCGGGGGGCCCCTGCGGCCGTCGGAGGGGCCCCTGGGGCCCCTGGAGGGCTCCCGGGGGCCCCCGGGGGGCCCCCCGGAGCTCCCTGGGGGCCCCTTCGCCGCCTTTTCAGGGGGCCCCCCGGGGGGCCCCCTGGGACTCGAAAGGGGACTGTTTTCTGGGGGAGAAGGAAATCTAATGCGCCCCTTTTTGAGAGCGGAAAGGGCCTTTTTAATGCGGCTTCTTGCCCCCTGCCAGGCACAAAGACCTGTCTTGGCCTGGGGGGGCAAAGCCTTGAGAAGGGCCCCCGCAGAAGCCTCGGGGGCCCCCGGGGGCCCCCCTGCGAGGCTGGCCTCCAAAGACACAGCCAAAAGCCAGTCTCTGGGGTCACTTGGGGGCCCCTGCTGCAGCAAAGGCGAAGCTGCAGGCAGCAGCAGGGGCCCCTGGTCGTGGGGGGGGCTGGGGGCCCCCCGTGCCCCCCGGGGGGGGCCCCCCAGGGGCCCCCGCGGGTCGGGGGCCCCCAGCTGCGCCCAGCGGTGGCTGTGGCTGCTGCGCTGCTGCTCAGGGGCCCCCAGCAGCAACTTGTGTCTCTCCCAAACCCTTAAGGCCTCCTTTAAAAGAGACAGACGCAGCCGCAAGTCCAAACAAGAAAACTCCACCACACAAATGGCCACTTCTTGGGGGCCCCCCCGGTGGCTGCTGCGGCGCAGGCGCGCAGCAGCGAGGGGGGCCCCCGGGGGGGCCAGGGGGCCCCTCAGGGGGGGGGGCCCCCCGGGGGGCCCCCTGGGCTTCAGGGGAAAGGAGAGGCCCCCTTTTGAAAAAAGATGCAAAGAAGGAACTGTGGGAAGAAAGTGTTTAAGCCCGGGGGCCCCCCTTGCCTCTTTGTGTCTGTGTTTGTGGCTGTCGAGATCCTCTCGCGCTGCAGCTGCAGAGGCAGCAGCAGCTTCTAGCTGCTGCTGCTGCTGCAGCTGCTGCTGCTGCTGCAGCAGCAGCTGCTGCTGCGCACTCGAGGGGGTCACCCACTCGGGCTGGGGCCTCCCCCGCCCCACCAGAAAGCCCACAAAACGCTCATAGCGGTCATCTCGGGGGCCCCACAGGGGCCCCCTCAGGGGCCCCTGGCCCCCGCAGGACTCTAAAAACTGAATGAGGGACTGCACAGAGCCTTTGGTGCGGGGCGGGGGGGGCGGCCGGGGCTTGGGGGGCCCCCTGGGGGCCCCCAGGCCCCGGGGGCCCCCCGGGGCCCCCGGGGCCCCCGGGGCCCGCGGGGCCCCCGGGGCCCCCGGGGCCCCGCGCACTGCCGCGGGGCTGGACATCCGAGGCCAAGGTGCTGCCTGGGGGAGTCAAGCCAGCTGCATGCGGGCAGCAGCAGGGGCCCCCAGGCGGCCTGGGCGGGGCCCCGGGGCCCATAGAGAGGGGCTCTGGGGGGCCCCTGGCCGGGCCTGCGGGGGCCCTTGAGGCCCTCGAGGCTGCAGAAGACGCAGAAGAAAGAAAATGAAGGAAAAGAGGTGAATAGGGGGGGCGCGCTGAGGTGTACAGACAGCTCGCGGCGCGGCGCCGCGATGGACTGCGACCTGCGAGCGAGGGGGAGGGCTGAGTGGGGACTTTTGAGGCCAAGAGCTCTGCATAACTCAGAAACAATTAAATATATTCAAGAGATTGCATTTTTGGAGGCTGTTTTGGGCAACAAACGCGGGCTGCGGCTCAGACAGCAGATCTTCGGCTGCGCCGCCTCGCGGGCGGACGGAGCGTCGTCCGGGCCGCGGGTTTGAGGAACGTGTCCCGTCAAAAAGGCTTTTTTAATGCAAATAATGTTATTAAATTTAAAAAGATTGAAAATTGAGCTTAAAACGAAGTAAAACTGCATTCATTTTGTCGAGAGCCCCCGTGACCACCGAGACCACTCGGCTGTACGTACACCTGGGCTCTGCAGAGTCGATTGCACGGCGGCTGTACGGACAGCCGCGCGTCTTTCTGTGGGTTCTTCTTTCGATTTTTCAATTTAAAAAGATATATTTCTTCATTTTATTTTAAATCTCTGGAGTTTTTCCCGTTTTCACCGGGAGATTCGGCGCCGCGCCGCCCTTTTGCCGCGCCCAGCTGTCTAGCTGCGAGGACCCGGAACCCCAAACCCTAAACCCTAAACCCTAAACCCTCGACCGCTGGCCGCGAATCCTTTCCAAGGGCCCCAAAATCTTTGCAGCGCTCTTCCCTATCATACGATTTAGGGTTTGGCGCCGAGGGTTTAGGGTTTGGAAGCGGCGCGTCGGCGCAGCCCGCGCCTCCCCCCTGTCTGTACAGCTGAAACCTCCGCTCTTTTTCATTTTTTTTTATTTCTCTAAAATGTACCAACAGCAGCAAAACCCTTTGCCCCTCAACTCCCCCTCAGCAGCAGCTGCTGCAGCTCTGCTGCGGCCTCGCAAGAATTCGCACCGAGACGCCCTCCAGCAGCAGCAGCAGCAGCAGCAGCAGCAGCAGCAGCAGTTTTTCAGTGTCCCGTCGTCGCCGGCGACGCCTGCGCCCGCGCCCTCAGCAGCAGCAACAGCAGCAGCAGCAGCAGCAGCAGCAGCAGCAGCAGCAGCGGAAGCAGCGGGCGCCTCCACGCTCATGGGGCCCCCACAAAGCAGCAGCAACTCGGGGGGCCCCTCGGAGGCCCCCAGCCTTCCTGCTGAACTCGTAACTGCTGCTCGCTGCTGGCAGCAGCAGCAGCGGGAGTGGCAGGAGCGCTATCACCAGTGGCTGCTGCAGCAGGGGCTGTGGGAGACGCAGCAGCAGCAGGGCGCGGGGGGCCCCCTGCTGCAGGGGCCCCTGCTGCAGGGGGCCCCCGGGGGGCCCCTGCTGCAGGGGGCCCTCGGGGGGCCCCTGCTGCAGGGGGCCCTCGGGGGGCCCCTGCTGCAGGGGGCCCTCGGGGGGCCCCTGCTGCAGGGGCCCCTGCAGGACCGCGGGCTGCAGCAGCTGCAGGTGCTGCCGCGCAGCAGCACATTTGCTTCTGGGGCTTTGTTGACTTTGCTGCGGAAGGGTTTGGGGCTGGGCCGGAGAGCAGCAGCAGCAGCAGCAGCAGGCACGCTGCAGCAAACCAAGACTCGGCTGCTGCCAGCAGCAAAGAAGCTGGCGGGGGGGCTGCGGGGCCTCACAAAGAGAAAAGAGACTAACAAAAAAGGGACACTTGAGGAGGAAGTGCTGCAGCAGCAGCAGCAGCTTTTGCTGCTGCGCCTGCACGAGCAGCGCCTCGCTGAAAACCAGCTCCTGCAGGCGCACCTGCAGCAGCAGCAGCAGCAGCAGCAGCAGCTGTTGCTGCAGCAGCAGCAGCAGCAGCAGCACGTTGATGCGACGTGGGAGCAACCCCTAGCTGAGGCTGAAGAGGAGCTGGCGAGCGCTTCAGAGCCCGACCTGCCTGCTGCTGCTGCTGACCCCCAGCAGCAGCAGCAGCAGCAGCAGCAGCAGCAGCAGCTAAAACGCTGCAGCCTGGCAGCAGAAGAAGCCCCTGAAGTCCCCAGCCACCTCAGCCAATCTATAGACTGGATTGTGGAGGTGGGGCTTAATGCTGAGGCTCGTGCTGCTGCTGCTGCTGCGCTGCAGCGGCGGGAGCAGCAGAAGCGGCGGTCGCCGCAGCAGAAGCAGCTGCCGCAGCCGCGGCTGAAGCCGAAGCAGCAGCAGCAGCAGCAGCAGCAGCAGCAGCAGCAGGGGAAAAGACACAGCAGCTCCCCGTCGAGAGGCAGCAGCATTGCCACTTGCTGCGACTCTTCTTTTGCTGCTGAAGAAACTGTAGAAGCACCAGCAGCAAGCAGCAGGGCTTTGGAGCAGCAGGCGCTGCAGCAGTCGCTGCTGTCAGTTTCTTCAAAAGCTAAGAACAGCAGCAGCAGCAGCAGCAGCAAACAAAAGCTGAGGGGCTCCGCAGCAGCAAAACGCAGCCACAGGAGACGCAGGAGCAGCACGCACAAGGACTGCGTCCTCCAGGACTGTCCGCTGCACTGCAGCAGCAGCAGCAGCAGCAGCAGCGGCTGCTGCAGCTGCAGCCACGAGGAAGAGCTGCTCTCAGACAGCAGCAGCAGCAGCAGCAGCAGCAGCTACTTGGCCAGCCGGCTGCAGACCCTGCGGAGACTGCGTGCTGCAGCAGCAGCAGCAAAAAGGAGACAGTTGCTGCTGGCAAGAAGAAAAGCAGCAGCAGCAAAAAGAGAAGAACTCTGCTACGGAGAAATAAACTTTGATGTGGCAATCTAGGAAATTAAAAAGACAAAAATAAAAAAAGAAAAGGAAATTAAAAAAGACAAAAGAAGATAAAATAAAAAAGAATAAACTAAATTTAAAAAAGAATTAAAAAAAGAAACACGACAGAAGAAGGGCAAAAAGAAGATCAACAGAAGACAAAATGAGAGGAAATAAAAAGGAAATAAACCCTAAACCCCAAACCCTAAACCCTAAAAGAGAGCTTCAGCAGCAACAAGACTCGAAGAGAAAGAATAAACAAAAGAAACAAAAAAAAGACAAAAAGAAAATTGGATAAATTAAAAAGACAAAAAGGATTATATTTTATTTTTAATATTTAAAAAAAATATATTATTTTCTGCTGCAGACTTTTTGAATGTATTAATGCAATATAATATTTATGTCTAATTATTTGCAAATAAAAATATGTCAGCAGCAAAATTTGCATTTATTTATTATTTATATCCATAATATATTTACTAAGCTTTGTATGCATTTGTGTAGACAAACTATGCATGCACTGAAGCACTAGGGTTTAGGGTTTAGGGTTTAGGGTTTAGGGTTTAGGGTTTGCAAGTGTGGTGCCAGTTTAAAGGCCTTTCGCGCACTGAAGGCTCTGCACGTTTAATGAAACTTTAGATTTTAAATTTATAAACTTTTAAATCAAAATAAATTAAACTTCTGTCAAAGTCTTCACATATATATATATATATACATCTACATAAATATATATATATATACATATATATATACTATATATAAATAACTATACATATATATATACATATATATAAGTATACATATATTTATATATTATATATATATATATATATGAATGTATATAGATACGTAGATAGATATATATATATATATATATATAATATATATATATATATACAGAGGCAAATAGCAATAAAACTATATATTTTATAAATATAAATGCATGCATTTTCCTTTATGTACTTACACTCAGTTCCCTCTAAGTGACCTGTACAGACACCCCAAAAGGCCTCTTTCGAGGCCCCTTGGGCCCCCAAACTCGGGGGGCCCCCCTGGGGTTCTAGACTTACTGGGGGCCCCCAGACCTTCTGGGGGCCCCTAGACTTACTGGGGGCCCCCAGACCTTCTGGGGGCCCCTAGACTTACTGGGGGCCCCTAGGCCTTCTGGGGGCCCCTAGACTTACTGGGGGGCCCTAGACCTTCTGGGGGCCCCTTGGGTCTCTAGACCTCAGAGGGGGCCCCCTGGGGCCTCCAGAGTTCCCAAGTGCCCCTCTGGGGCCCTAAAGCAGGCTGGCTGTGGGGCCCAGGCCCTTGAGGCTGCCAGGGGGGCCCCCAGGTCTCCTTAGGGCCCCGACAGGGGGGCCCCCAGGACTCCTGAGGGCCCTGGGGGCCCCCCGGGGCAGCAGACCTTGGGGGCCTCTTCTGGGGTCTTAGGGGGGCCCCAGGGGCCCCTCGTCTTCGGGGCCCCTGGCTGTCTGGGCGGCAGCAAAGATGTTTAGGCTTATTCAAAGAAACTGAGTTCTTATTTTTGTTGTTTTTTAAAAAAGAATAAAAAAGTCTGGAAAGCAAAGAAAAGGTCTTAGCTAAGAATGCTTCTTTCGTGGCTGCGCCTAAGGCCCTGGGGTGTACGTACACCCCAATGTGTCTCGCTGCAGCAGCGCTTTCAGGTGTACGTACACCCCAGGGCTCTGTTTGCATGCAGCAGCAGCCCGTGCGCTTGCTGCTCCATTCTGCTTTGTCTTTTGCTGCTGAAGTGCAGCAGCAATTAACGCAAAACAGGCGAGTTTGTCCCCCGGGGCCCCACAGCAGCAGCAGCAACTGGGGGCCCCACAGCAGCAGCAGCAAATGGGGGCCCCCCAGACGCAAGGGGGGCCCCCTGCTTGCGCTGAGCAGCCTTTAGGGGGCCCCAAGGGCCCCACACAAATCTGGGGGCCCCCAGAACCCCCGAGACCCTTTGGGGCCCCCAGTGGACTCGCTAGGGGCCCCCAAGTGCCTTTGGGGAGGCACTTGGGGCCCCAAAATAAAGCCAAGAAAAAGCAGCAAAAGAAAACAATGAAAGACATTGAAAGAGGGGCCCCCTGCTTGACGCGGGGGGCCCCCAACCAGATGCAGCGGCTGGGGCCCCTCAGAAACTCTGGGGGCCCCTGCACACAACCTCACGCCCCAGGGGGCCCCGGGGGGGCCCCCAAGGGGGCCCCGGGGGGGCCCCCAAGGGGGCCCCGGGGGGGCCCCCAGGGGGGCCCCCAAGGGGCCCCAAGAGTCTCTTAATCTGATTTGTTCGTCTCTTTTCGTTGTTGCTTCTTCTTCGGACTGTGAGGCTTCTTGCCAGGAACTAGTGCTTGCTTCTTCTGCTTAGGTGGCTTCTGCTGCTGCTGCTGCTGCTGCTGCTGCTGCTGCTGCTTCTTCTTCTTCAAAGGGCCCCCTGTCTCTGCCTCGCCCTTGGCTTGGGGCTGGTCCTGGGGCTGCCTCTGCATGCGCTGCTTCTTCAATGGGGGCCCCCCTTCTTCTTCTTGGGTCTTTTCTTCCTTTTGGGGGCCCCCGGGTTTCCTGAAGGGGCCCCTTTCTTTTTGCTGCTGCCTCTCTTCTCTTCTTCGCTTCTTCCCAGACCCCTTGGGCCCTTTCTTTTCCTTCTGTACCCTTTTGGGGGCCCCCCTAGAAGCGCCATTCGGGGCCTCCTTCCCCTTGGGGGCCCCCTTGCGGGGGTCCCCCTTGGGGGCCCCCTGGGGGGCCCCCTTGGGGGCCCCCACCACTGCCTCTCCTTCTCCTTCTTCGCTGTCCTGGGCCTCCTGCATGCAGCAAAAGCCCAAAAGCCCCAAAGTGGTGGTAAGCAGCAAACTGGGGGCCCCCAAAGGGAGGCGCAGCCAGGGGCCCCCAAGAGGGTCCTCTACTGGCGGCGGCGGTATCCAGGGGCCCCCCAGGGGGCCCCCGGGGGCCCCCCAGGGGCCCCCCAGGGGCCCTCGAGGGCCCCCAAGAACCCCACGCGCCTCTAATAGGAAACCTGGGGCCCCCAAAGTCACCAACAGCCCTCAGGGGCCCCTTGGAGGCCTCTGCGCGCTCTTTAAAGACCCTTGGGGGCCCCCTAGGGGCCCCTTGGGGGCCCCTAGGGGCCCGTAGGGGGCCCGTAGGGGGCCCCTAGGGGCCCCTAAAGGCCCTTTGGGTACTTTAAAAATGCCCAAGAAAGGCTACAGAGGAAACGGGGCCAGCAGTGGGCGGCTTGAGGAGACAGGGGGGGCCGAAAGCAAAACCCTAAACCCTAAACCCTAAACCCTAAACCCTAAATTTTGCTGCTTACCTCATTTTCCTCGTCTTTAAACTCGAGAAAATCTTCAGTCACGGATTTGTCGTTCCACTTCTCCGCGCCCCACACCTGAAGGTAAAGGAGAGGAAGCAAACACAAAGCAGCCAGTGCTGCTGCTGCCGCTGCTGCTGTTGCTGCTGCTGCTGTTGCTGCTGCTGCTGTTGCTGCTGCTGCTGTTGCTGCTGCTGCTGTTGCTGCTGCTGCTGTTATTGCTGGGCGCTGTCTTTCCGGCGTTTCTTCTGCTGCTGCTGCTGTTATTGGTGGCTGCAAGTTGCTGCCGTGGCAGCTTCTGCTGCTGTCGCTGCTACTGTTGCCGCGGCTCTGCCGCTGCCGCTGCTGCTGCTGCTGCTGCTGCTGCTGCTGCTGCTGCTGCTGCTGCTGCTGCTGCTGCTGACCTTGACGTAAGGGTTCGTTTTGCTTCTGTCTTTCTTGATTCTTTGGGGTTTGTCGTTGGAAAGCTTTTTGAGTTTTGCAACAAAAAAGCCATCCATGTTGTTGACATGCGGATACACCCGACGCGCATGCAGCCCCAAAGAAGGGTGAAAGTGCTGCCCCCTGAAGGAGGACAGCGCGGGGCTCCCCACAGCAACGCCTGCGCAGCAGCAGCAGCAGCAGCAGCAGCAGCAGCAGCAGCAGCAGCAGCAGCAGCGGGGTGCACGACGGCTCGCGGAGAGGCCCTCGCGGCAGCGAGGGCCCCAGCAGAGAGAGGCGCGGAAATGCCGGGGGCCTCTGCGCCTCA